GTCAAAAAGAAGCCTTGTGGGTTTTTTGCATGTTTTTATAAAAAGAAGTACTTACTTTCAGTAAAATTACCGATTTCAGTCTATCCCTGAAGACAGAGTTTGTACATTTCTTGTTAGCAGCAGACAAACGTTCTATGTGTTTTTGAAACTAAATTTTCGTATTACACTTGCCAACCAAAGAAGTTCCAAACTGGCAAAATATTGGCAGCCAAATAATACAATCTACATATTCTCGTTTGCAAAAGACTCATTAACGTGCAGTTCAAAATAGGAATACAGGTAGACTTGATTAGTGGACAAAATACAACCAAACAATATGCCCAGCCGTTTGATTCCCTCTTTACCGAGCAATTAGGAATGTTAATGACAGCCCTGGAAAATTATTTGTGGTTGTTTCTCAAGTTCTGTAATTGCCATGTGTCAGGAAAATGCTATAAGGACTGATGAAAGTATATGTGCAAATAGGCTCTGCTGTTTCGGGCATTTACACGCCTGGTTGTTTGCTAGTTGTTTTTATATATTCATATGCACTAGACCTGACCTTAGACAAGAATGTAGGTAGGCATTTGCCAGTAAGCAAGCAAGAGATAGTAAGCAAATGATTATATTCATGTAAGTGTTAGAGTACAGTACAGTAACAAGACCTAGCCAGCTGGTTATGTCCTTTCTCTCACTGTCGTTGCTGACTAGCTGACAAGGTTGGGCTGTCAGGACCGAAGGACAAGGAAATATAATCAAAAACCAATACATTGCCTGCTCACAGGATTTGACATTTAGCGTTTACGCATAAATATACAGCAGCCATCAGACCATAAGGGCGAGACTGGCTTTACAGCTTTAAACTGTTAATGTTCAACAGGCTCTAATATTGTAGTCTTATTTCACAAAGGATACAAAATTTTAAAACAGTATTATTTTGCTACATAAGCTGTTCAACCTCAATTTGATTGTACTGGCTTCATTCTGTCCAATACTAGACCTCAAACACACTGAGCTACAGTGTATTTAAACAGTGTCACCCAAACAATCAATGTGAATATATCGTGTATAATTTCATACAATCCAGACTCAAAAAATAATAATTGATACTTGATAATAAGAGGCTACTTGGCACAGTTTCATGGAACACTAGTATAGGCAGTGGAGTGAAAGGAATCAGCTTTCCGAGAGAGAAGTTGACCAATATTAAAGTAAGCTTATAACTGTCACGCAAAATATGCATGTTGCTATCCCACGTGTAGTTAACGTTTGTTTTACCGGAAATCTTACATTTATACCTCAAAAGAAGAACGAAAATTAATTACAGGTTTCCTTTTATTCAGCTGTGTGTAGTGAGTCAATACATGTTGACAGCAAGATTTTATTGTAAAGTTAAAATCGATAAATTGAAAGACTTATGCTTAAATTAATTTAAAAATTGCCTACCTGGATCTCGACAAAAATAACCTACAGTTTTAATTTGTAGGAATAAATAATTTATGAAAATATTAAAAAACATTGGACCAAGAACACTTTCTTGAGGTACTCCTCACCTGACTTCTTGCCAATCAGAACTTGTATCACCTACTTTCACCCGCTGCATCCTACCATGTAAGTAATCTTTAAGAAGCATACAACTTTTACTGTTAACACCATAAGCCTTCAGCTTGGCCAGCAAGAGTCCATGGGGTATCGTGTCAAAAGCCTTACATAAATCCATTGATATCACTGCAACAATTTGTTTATTATCCAGACTACGTTGCCAATCTTCTGTTAACCTCATTAGCGAGGTTTCACAGCTAGTGTCTCCTATAAGCTGAGATGTAGGGAGACAATATTTCAGAATAGAACTGGTCTAGTTGAGAAGCAAGAAGTTTCTCAAAAACATTATTTAGGGTCGGTAAAACAGTAACGGGTCGATAATTGTCTTTACTCAATTCATCATTTTTCTTGAAAAGAGGTGTTACCTGCCCCATTTTCCATCAAGAAGGATATTTGCATTGTTTGATCGATTCATTCATTGACTCTGCTAGTGGACCAGATATCGCGGAAGCGGATTCCTTAGGAAGCCGCGGAGTTATGGTGTCGTGTCCACAGGCCTTGCGTGCGTTGATGTTTGATAGTAGTTTTTGAACCTGGGTCTTATTGGTGTATTTAAAATTAAAATTATGTATGGCGTTCTTTCTTCTGTTTTCCTCCGCAATTGCTCGAATGCTGGGGTGTGCACTGAAATCGTTTCCAAAGTTGTGTTCTTTAATGTCCTGCACATCATCAACGATGTGAACAAAATAGTTGTTGAACAATTCAGCCACCTGAATACTTCCAGATAGTTCCCAAAACAGATCGTGCTCCGTTATAGCCCATATTAGAGAGGTGCCTTTGACCAGGCAGCATTGTCTACAGCGATGACAGGAGAGCTTACAGAAACCTAGAACGGCATTTGCCAACCCACGTTGCCCAGCATCACATGGTTGTCCATAGTCAGAACTTCGTAGACCCAACAACTGGTGTTCATACACAGGAGGCAGAGCCTGCCTGGAACAGTTTAAAAGGACCCATAAAGGAGAGAAGAGGCATCCCTATAGAAGACTTCCAGTTGTATTTAAGCGACAGAATGTGGAGGCATGGCGAGGATTGGATAACATCATGGCGAACTTTTTACCTGTTTTAGTAGCCAGCTTTAGGGATTATACAGTGTATTAAGAACTTTTTAGGGCGAATTAGTTGGGGTTTTTTTTCTTCAAGGAATAAATGAGATGTGACTTCTTTCTTTCTTCTTTCTTTTAACTCTTATTTTTATTTTTATTGTTTAAGGATAGTATAATTTTCTCGACCTTCTTGGTATTAAAATTAGGCTAGGTAAATGGTTAAAAAAATCATAAAAGTTCGTTTTTTGATGCGACTGAAAGAAAGAAAATTAGCCAGTACCCTGCACGGTTTTTTAAAGGTGCAATCGAAGGGTCTACTTGGCCTAATCTCAGATTATGTTAACATGTTTCGCCTTGGCAAAATCAATAAGCACAGCTTTTTCAAGGTAAAAATAAAAACAGTTTATGATTATATTTTACTGCAGTTTACTTTCTTTGCCTCCCTGAAAAAGTGTTTTCCACATATCGCGTACTTTGTACTTTTTAGTTATGTACCCATGTGAAATTACACTACAGTGGAAACCCACCCTTAATCAGGGCTGCTGATCATGAACTAAGAGTCTTGTTGCTTTGGAAAGAGAGCCTGTGTTTATCTGGCTGCCTGGCTGCAGTGCAATGTAAGACAGAAGATATGTATTTCTGAATCCCCTATAATACACGCTGTTTGCGAATGTTTGCTTCTCCATGCAAACCCTAAAGAGAAAAGAGCCTCAGATGATTGGTTTCTGGGATCCTTAGAGTGGTAATTATGGTTGATTATGGCTTGCAATAGAATAACACCATCCAAATCCCGCTGAGTCTTGTCCAAGACTGAGCCTCAAGGGAGTATCCTTGGTCCGGTTTTATTTACGTTGTATATCAATGATCTACCTTCCTGTGTTGATGTCTGTAAAGTTATGATGTATGCTGATGACACAGTTATCTTTTTCTTGGCTCCACTAATATCGGAAATTGAGTTACAGTTAAATTTGGAACTGATTAATCTGTCTGAGTGGCTGTCTACAAATAAACTGATTCTCAATTTAAAGAAGACTGAATTCATGGTTTTTGGCATCCACCAGAGACTATGTCGCCAAGACATCAATGGGGCTCATATAACGTTTGGAGGAGAATCTGTGAAACACTGTGATTCCTTTAAGTATCTAGGCGTAGTTTTGGACAACAGTCTTTCCTTTAATTTGCATATTGACTATGTGAAGAAGAAAGTTTCTAAAACACTGGGGATGTTCTCAAGAATTAGATCATCATTAACAACTGAAGCATCGAACCGATTGTGTAAATCGATGATATTACCAAATTTGGAAAACTGTTGTGCTGTTTTTCATGGCTGTGGTAAAGGAAATGACGAAGAATTGGGACGCCTGCAGAGACGTGCTGCTAGGATAGTGCTAAAGACGGTGCATTTGTCCACTCAAGATACGGCTTCCAGTCTTGGTTGGGACCCTCTTAAGACGAGAACAGAGAAACATATCGTCAAACTTGTCAAGAATTGTCTTGATGGACAAGCTACAAGTTATTTCTCAGATTATTTTTGACGGCGAACTTATAATATTCATGACTATGACACTAGGTCTAAGGATAGGTTATCTATTGATAAAGTCAATCTCGAGTTGACTAAGAGGGCCTTTTTTTTATAAGGGGGCTACCCTTTTTAATGATTGTATGTAGTTTTATTCATTAGGAGGCTACTTTTTTTCGTTGATTATAATTATGTAATGTATCCCAGTTTCATATATAATTAATGTTTTTTTTATTCATTTATTTTTATACAGGACCCATATTGATAGCAGTTTTTATAACTGAAATGGTCATCCTGTTTAAACATGTTATTATTATTATTATTATCATTATTATTATTATTATTATTATTAAGGCAAGATCAAACATTACTAAAAAGAGGTGGGGGACACCAAATAAGTGAACTAACATCCGGTGGGTCACCCACCTATCATGTAGACGTAATCAAATTAAAATGTGATTGTTAGACAGAGTCCGTTTGTTAGAGAAACTGAGCATTGCAAGGGAGGCGTTTTTTGGAAAAGGTGTTCGAGGGAGTGTCAATGAAGTCAGTATTGACCGTTTGGTTCAGGAGATTTAAAGCCTGGGTCAAAGGTCAGTTCTGAGCATATTTTTGATTGGCAATATATCTCTCTAGGAGACCTAAACATGCCTAACTTTCTACCTTAGGGATGAATGTACGCGAAGTTTAAAATTAAATTTTTGAATAAAGCAAGATTATATTTGGGCAATTAAAATGTTTCCCCGATTTTTTTTATCGAACTGCAATGGATGGTCATTCCAAACGTGGAAGGTTAGAAATATTTAGTACGAATATTAGAAAAAGTGTTATTGCTCGATTTTTTTTTACGATTTTTAGCTAAATAGTCGATAAGGGTAAAGCATTACTTTCCTGTTAATGTCTCTCAAAAGGAAACAAAAATTAGTCTCGGACGGTTGAACAATGATCCCATCACTCAGGGGATGTCTCAATGTAGCACCATTGCTGTCTTCACTGCTCTTATATCTGTCCACTATAGCAACAGAAATTTGGTGGGTTTCATCACACAGAAGATAAAAGTGGATAATCTTCACGACTATTTCATGGCCAGCTTGCGGTAAAATGACTTCATTCCTAGTTTTATACACAGTTCCTCCACCATCAACATTGTGCAATGGCAGATATGCACTCTTGTACCTTACTGCTTGATAAGGTATTTCTCGAATTTCAAAGTTGGTAAATAAGCAGGCTTCAATGTTAGGTTCTTCATCTCTCAAAATAACAGATGTCTCGCCCCTTCCAATGAGCACCCCATTAGTAGCTCTTGTGGCGTCTCTACCAAATTCACACTTTTTGACAAGATTCCTTGCTGCTTGCAAAGAGGAAGCGACCATCTGGAAGGTACACAAAATTAAAGAGCAATCAGAAGTGGACTACACTTTTTAATAATATTTTTTTTACAACAATGTTATCTGCAGTTGTTCCCCTGCCAACACACACACAGACATGCCTCTGCAAACAAAATGTAATGATAATAACATTTATGGTAGTAGTACGTAAGTCTAAAATTCACTTGGAGTCCCCAACTACCTAGGTAGTCAGTGCTTCTGTCCAGTATGCTCGAGGTCGAGGTATACAGCTCCACCAGGGTGACTTTCAGTCTATGTAGATCAAACAACCGCATTATTTAAATGTGATAAAAAGGACGTGCAGATCACCTTTCTTTGATCAAACGTCCCTGTTTGCTTTGAGGTCAGAGCATTTAACTTGTCTTGTTGTGACCAAACTTTGATAAACTCCCTTTGTGACTCCTTTCTAGCAAAGGTCTTTTCAACACCGTTTTTGTTGCTTGTTTGTTTTACATAGCGGCCAACTACTCTCTCATACTGAAAGCAATAATAGTTGTCTGGTGATCCAAACTTCATTATGTCCTCTGGTACATGTGTAAGAGAGTGCAATGTTATGACACACTCAGAATCTCCATAAGCCTTCTCAACAAGTATGCAGTACCTCCAACAGAGCCGCCTAAAATTTTCAATCATTTCGATTGTCCAGCCATGAAGGCCACAGTTGAATATAAACTCAACTATTCTGGGAAGAGGTGCCCAAATGTCTGCATCACTGGGGCTTAACAGTCCTTCAAAAACAAACTCAGAGGCTGGGAAACCTATTTTCTGAAATTCCTCGCCTGAAACAAGACAAAAAAATATTACATCAGTAAAAGCAGCTCTATACAGTAAGCACAATCATATAATAATAACCTTTATTTATTACCTTTGGCGATAAGAATTACGGTAATATTACAATAAAAATTCAAAACACTACATATTATATATACATATCAAATTAAGTTAAGATTAGCACCTCTAGGAATAAATGATTTCTAAAAAACGTTTACAAGGATGTGCTTCAGATTCTAGGATACGTTTAAATTCTTTCCTCGTCAAATTCTGACGCCTAGTTACAAGTGACTCAACAGTATCCCTAGGGAGACCAATGACATTTAGACAAATATGCCATCTCTGCTGTTCTGTTGTTTCTATAGACAAGAAACTTTGCCCCACTTTCTCTCTCTTCACCAAGGCGTATAAAATGGGTAGCAGCAACATACTGAGTATCCCTACATGTACAAGGAAACTAGCATCTCATTCAGGGAGGAGTAGTAATACTCTCAATAGCTTTATGCTACAGAAACTTGGTTAAGGTCTGGTGTGTCTTCCATTACCCACTCCCAATCAAACAGGAATGGTTTGAGAGATAATTACCTTTCCAGAATTTCATTCTGATATGTCCAGTGGGAGCCCACTTGACCTGTGCTCTGAAGAAAAAATACCACCAAGTAACTAATTGATAAAAAATGGTTTGAAGACCTCTGTATCAGTTTTTTTTGTCAGATTGGCCAGATGAGTGTACTTCTGAAAGTTACAGTATAATAACTGTTGCTGTTTCCAAAGACTGATATTTTGTCAGACCATCTGACAAAAAAAAAAACATAAAATACAACTTTAAAGAGCAAGGAGGTTTAAATGTGACCATGCAAACAAGACACTGACACATGACTGTTGCTATCTAAAAGAAGTAGTCAGGAAGAAAAAGTTAGCCAGAGCGAACCAATATATAAAAAAGTGACCACAGCTTACATGTATTGGCAGTACACTTACAAGCAGGCAAATTATATCATTGATATTTTATTTTTATCAAAGTATATCAGTTGTTTCTTTCGAATAAACTAGAATAAATTGATGTAAATTTAAATGATTGGTAAATGAGAGGAATATTGTTAGAGCAGCAACATCAAACAAGGATTTGAATGAACATTGTACCTTGCGTCCATGGTATCTTTTCCAGGGCAGGTTGAAGTCGCTCTGTATCCAGCAAGGAATTAGAGAGAAAATACTCAAACCTCCTTTTCACAAGGTTTAGAGGCACCAGGTGCATGACATCAAAAACTAGGTCCTTTATGACATCAAATTTGTAGAGCCTGTGGAGACGGTGTAGAAGAGATACTCCCAAGAAGCCACTTTCTCTGGACCTCCTTTCTCTAACAGTCACTCGTTCTTCTCGTTCAATTTCAAACATGAGTGGAAATTCCTCAGCAACGTCCCTTTTCTCAGGAGGAGATCGGAACTGTTCCCTGAAACCTGGGTAGTAGTAATGCTTCTGGGCTTCCAAGTACTTTCCTACACATAATACATTTCATTTGTTAAGATAAGATACATTATATCAATGATATTTTATTATCAAAATACAATCTCAGTGACAGTTTAAATATTTAGCATGTTTAGACAGTCATTGTTAGTCCCTCTGAGGTAGATGTTTAGCAAGTTTTCAGTTGTTTTAACCTTTTTGTATCAGAGATGCTGATGAACCTAAGTAACAAAGAAGGTCTGTCAAATGGTATATCAACATAACTTTATATAATTTGGTTTTGCAGCCCAACCTTTCTGACTATTTCTTTTTTTTTGTTACAGCAGAAAACACGTATGTCACCTTGTATCACCCGATGAAAGGGTGAAATAAGTGCAGAAATTAGTGGGGGTACATGCCTTGCCGTAGTTAAGTAATGAGAATGAAAAGCATTCTTAAGCTGCTCTTTGGTTTCAAGTTTACCTAACAGTTCCACTAACCTATGAGTTTGCATATCCTGCGACCTTTCTTTCCTCCTGCACCTTTAGATTTGCACATTTCACATTGAGCAGGATGGTCCCCAGTCCAAAGCAAAAGGAGAAGCCGAATATTTATGATTCCAGGATGAAAACAGTGAAGCTCTCAGTTGTAGTTGACATTGATACCTAAAAGAGAAAAATACCATCAGGTCACAGAAAAATGTTTGTGTATTCACCAATGCAATTTATGGGGCTGATATAACATTCACAATACAAGATGTAGGCAACGCCCCTGTAATATAAGGCCGGTGGTTTCTGGGCATCACAGCAATATTGTATAAAATAATATCAATTCAAATATAACTGACAAAACCTCCCTTGACTTTCACTATATAATCATCATGTTACTAAGTGAAGAAGGGTGTATTTCTAAGCACCTTCAATAAAGGCCTTTTCCAAATCTGCCACGAGAGGGTAAAGAAATGGATCCAGAGAATTTGGTCTCCTGTCTGGCAGTGAATAAGATGGAACAAAACCTACAGTGTAGATTTCAGCTGCATTTGATCTATCCAGTTTTGACATTGTTGCAATGCCCACCTCTATAGCACCTGAAAGTAAAATAAATAATAAATAAACACCAATAAAAACAATCTGTTAGAACAATGAATCAATACGCACTTTCAGCTAAGGAAAGACCATCAATATGCTGTTTGAAAACATAACATAGTCTTATCATCAAAATGGTTCCAAACCATTCACCAGCTGCCTAGGGCAAATAAACAACATTCAAAGAGAATTTCATCTTCGATGCAACCACTTCAACTAAAATTTCACGTTTTTCTGGTACCTGATTTAGAAATTTCTGCCATATTAGGTGAGGAATGGTTATTGACTTATGCCTTCTACCTAAAGTAAGAAACAACAAATCTTTTACTGGCAACTTTAAAAAAACAGGTCCATCATTGGTCTAATTTCCTCTTCGAATTTCTTCTTGAACCAGCTTCTATTAATCTGTATATACTGATCCTGTACCATAAAGGTTGAACATGTTTTAGGATGACCTTTTACTAATGCACAGACCACTAGACCACCAAAAGCAGCATGATCCCTAGATTGAAAATCATCCATCACAAATTTGCACGATTTTTCCATGAAATCAGTATCAATGCTTTGTATTCAAGGTAACAACTAACCAGTACTTTTTCTGCCTGAACCAAATGGCTGGAAACCACCCCAGTGACCTAGTGAGTAGAAAAAAATTTTGAAATTATTCATTACACCTATTTCGGCGAAGAGTGTATAGGCACTTAAAAATCTCAGGTTTTCATTCTTTAAAAGTAAGCTTAATAATAATTAAATTTATCATCATTATTATTGTCTTAACCTGTGTAATTATATGACCATGCAGCTGATGTGCTAAAATGTGTCACTTTTACCCATTAATACAAGATTTCTTGGGTCTCCACTGGCATAACTGGGGGTGAATGTAAAAGAATAGTGACACTCATCACAGGTAACCTCTTTTCTACCATCATCAAGTTCTTGCAAGGATTCAACAGTTTCACCACTTATGATGTTACTGCAGCCTTCCTTTGTACACCTTACTGGCAGACACCAATGGGATTCTGGGTCAAAAAACCATGAAATCTCACAGAACCGGTCACCATCCCACAGCTCTTTCCTGATATGCCATCCTTCATCTCTTCTGAACCAGTGCCCTTTTTCCCTCCAATGAGCAGTTATTCTCTAGCACATAGACCAATCTGATGTCCAAAGTCTCACCTTTGTTTCCAGACCCAAATAATAGTACCGAATTGATCCCTTTTCTCCACAGTGACGGTGCTCAGCATGACAGCTTTCTAAAATGTCCCAGTGACCGGGATGAGATTCATTCAAGCAAATAAGGTATTCCTTAGCATCAGTGTAGCCAACATCATCCAGAACTTTCTTTGCATCACTCCAGCCCTTGGGCCATTACAGAAGAACACCTTGATCATCTGGATCAAGTCTAGCTCCTTTGCAATAGAGCACCCTTGCCATTGTTAAAAGGTGTGCAAGGTTATTCAGTGAGCCACCCATCTTATCAATACAATCAAGGGCTTGAAATATTGCATAAACAATTGCATCATTGGTGATCTGTTCTATGGTTGGCTCATCCTCTTCTGAAAAATCATCACATCCTTCTGCTGGTGGAACAGCATTAAGGCCTGGCATGTACTCAGATGAATGCTCCATGTAGCTTGCTCTTACACAGTGGACAGAGTTGTGTTCACATCTTTGAAGGTCTTGATCCTCGCCAATACATATTTCCATGTCATGTCTATCAATAATACTAGTAGGAGTCACCATCATCAGTTTACGAAGAACGCGAATTAGTCAAAAAAGCTATTCCCTCGTCATCCAAATATAAGAACAAATGGGCAGTAACAAGTTTTGGCGAATGGCAAATTTCTCTTCCGTTTTAGATTCAGGAGGGCTCTTTAAAGGCTATGATTTATACAAAGTCGCACAGCTGTCTACCAGCATGGAAGAAATGGACGCAGTAAACTTGAATTACATCATCATGTAGTGGCTGTTGTGCCATGGATAATAAATGACTTTAAGAAGAGATTCTGAAACATCTAAATGAAAGACAATTACAAGTCATATATGGAAGGGTGCCAAAAGGGCTCTCAATCAGAAGTCATTTAACCCCCATAACAGAATCTCTGCAAACTTAACGGCCGACATGGGCATTTTAGAAGAGGCAATACTGCAAATCAGAGCAAGCATCACTCACCAAAAATCCGACCTTGTTATTTGATAGGGATAGGTGGTCTTATATGAAAGTCAAAGAGGCCTATGAGTATCCTGGTTTCACAGAAGCTGAAAATTCCATCAGTTATGGCCGAGACATTATAAAAAGAGAGGAGCTGGGGTCTTCACAAAGGCCACACTTTATGTGACGACCGAAGGAGGTGGATTGGATGTCTATGCGGAACTACTCATAATTATGCAAAACCTGACTATATCTTGCAATCTGTTAAAGATGAAATTCAGGCTGCGATTCGAAAAGTTTGTACTCACAACAAAAAGTTACAGAAAGGTCATGGTATCGGATTTATTCCAGCGGAAAAATCACCCACGGCATCCCATCCTAGGAGAATTAGAAAGGAGCGGCAGCCTGGAATGGAAGGCAGATCTATACGGTGTTATATCCTTGTCAAAATTCAAGGTTTGCTTTCATTGTTCAAGTTTATCATTTAACCTTGTTCTTCACCTGTGCCATATAAGCTACTAGGCGTTTATGTAAGTAATGACCTGAAATGGAATCATCATGTAGAAGTTATAGTGCAAAAGGGAAACAGAAGGCTTTACTCTTTAAGGGTCCTTAACCAATGTGATGCACCTCCAGCTTCACTGGCTTAGTTTTATACAACCATTGTTCGTCCTGTTCTAGAATATGCTGCCCCTGTCTGGCAAAATATACCAGATTTTCCATCTTATAAGATTGAGAGCAATCAGAAAAGGGCTATGCGCATCATTTTTCCTTTAATGAATTACAACGAGGCATTAAATGCCCTTAATTTAAAAATTTAATCTAAATGCCCTTAAGTGACAGACGCGCCCATCTATGCCAGGTTTATATTGATAAACTCCGGAATGAGAATCACCCTTTGCATTTTATGCTCCCCAAACAGGAGGAGGTTGTGCATAATTATAATCTTAGATCTGGCATTAGCCACTCCACGCGTCCTACCTGTAGGACCAAGTGCACGCAAGAGTTTGTCACGCATAAGTATACCTGGTGGCTTGTACAATTATATTTTTTAGATAGGGCTCTGCCGCCTCATTCGGATGCTCGTATGCTAGCAAATGAGATGGGGGAGTATTTGTTCACAAAATCACGGCTATTAGGTCTGCGCTGGATGCGGATGCAAGTGGCGCAACTTCGCTTGCCACATCAGCCTCAACGTGTAGTGAATTTTCTGAATTTTCTCCACTGTCTGAGGAGAGTGTACGGAGAATTGCTGCCTCATGTGCAAAGAGCACGCGGAAACTAGGGGATGGTAGCAGATAAGACAGCTTCTGTTTGGATGAACTGCTCCCTGTTATTAGGAAAATTGTCAACTTGTCTCTTGAGTCTGGCGTCTTTGCAGAGGACTGGAAGAATGCTTTCGTTCACCCCTTGCTTAAGAAAGCAGGACTCAAACCTATTAACAAAAATTTTAGACCGGTGAGCAACTTGCAGGTTACATCAAAGATTACGGACAAGTCCGTGGCTATCCAATTACAAGATCATATGACAGCCAACAACTTATTTCCTGTCCTCCAAAGCGCATATCAGCAGAATCACAGCACTGAGACAGCGTTATTAAAAGTTAAAAACGATCTTCTGCTAAATATGGACAAAGGTCACGTCACATTGCTTGTTATGTTAGATCTCAGCGCTGCGTTTGATACCGTAGATCACGGTATTCTGCTGCACAGGCTGCAGTCCAAGCTCGGCCTTCGGGATAAGGCTTTATTATGGTTTAAATCTTATTTGGCAGGAAGAACGCAGCAGGTCTCAGTTAACGGATCGCTCTCTGATAACTTTAATCTGACTTGTGGGGTCCCACAAGGTTCTTGTTTGGGCCCCCTCTTATTTACCATCTACGCGAGTTCGCTGTTTGACATCTTGAAATCTCATCTGCCATCTGTTCACACCTATGCGGACGATACGCAGCTATATATATATCGTTTAATCCCGTTGATAAGACCAGCGAGGCTGATGCTGTGATTGCGATTGAGAACTGTATTCGTGACGTTCACCCATGGATGAGAGATGATAAGTTAATGCTAAATGACGATAAAACTGAGTTCTTGATCATTGGCACGGAACAACAGTTATCAAAGGTGTCCGTTGACAAGATCAAGATCGGCCAAGCTGAGGTATCGCCTGCCTCTTCAGTGCGCAATTTGGGCACCTAGTTCGATTCTCATCTTGACATGTCGACTCATGTGTCTAAGACTTGTGCTAGCGCGTTTTATTAGTTGTACAATATCCGGCACATTAGGAAGTATTTGTCTCGCGAGTCCACCGAGAGGCTTGTTCACGCATTCATCACAAGCAGGCTTGACTACTGTAATGGTTTATTGTACGGTGCTCCTGAGTATCAAATTAAGAAACTTCAAAGAGTCATGAATGCCAGTGCTCGATTGGTTTACTGCGTACCTAAGTATTGTCATGTTACTCCTTTGCTAAGAGAACTCCACTGGCTACCAGTGCGCTTGCGCGTAGATTTTAAGATTCTCCTTGTTACATTTAAGATTCTTCACGGTGTTGCGCCTAGCTATCTTAAGGATCTTGTCTCTGTCTTACCGGACTCACGTTACCAACTACGCCGTAACAATAATGGTATATTGTTAGAAAGGCCTCGGCTAAGAACAAAGAAGACTTTGGGAGATCGCGCGTTATCGATGGCTGCCCCCTTTTATGGAACAGTCTTCCTCTTCCCATAAGACAGGAAACATCAATCGACTCTTTTAAACGCTCTGTTAAAACATATCTATTTAAGAAAGCTTTTAGTTAGATTATTTATTTATTTATTTATTTTTAAATATTGTAATTTTACCGGGTAATTTTACTGGTTTTTAATTTTATTAATAATATTGTAATCCGCTTTTGAGTATTTTTATAGAAAAAGCGCAATATAAGCATTAAATATTATTATTATTATTATTATATTTTCTAGTATTTATTGGATATATTGTATTATATTTTAGTATATGTTTTGTAAATAGCTCTGTAATTCAGCCATTCTGTATATTGCTGTAATGAGTCTTCATAAACAGTCATCATTATTATTCACCATCCGACATTCGAGTTTCGTAATTCAACATTGTTGCTTACGATGTGACATTAGCGTTTCACAATGAGACATTGGAGTTCTACCTTCCAACATTTCTGTTTGGTACACCACATCCAACCTCCCCAATTGTACACCAGTTTTACATTTTAAAATATTAGTTTACACTCATTATTCGAGTTTCCCATTTGTAATGGCAAGATTCCATGTGAGATTCAAGTTTTAAATTGAACTTCACAGATGAATAGTTGACCTTTAGTAGTGAATCTGCTTTAATAACAGAGCATGGGCGCAAGGAGTAATGCAAGCGAGGCACATGAGACAGCTCCAAGGCAGCACATGTACGTTGGATTCCAATGCAATAAAGGCAGAACAGCTACTTACACTTGCAAATGAAGGTCGGTAATGTAATAAAACAATAATTGATTGTTTTGTATGTGGATGGTCCGCGTTGAATTGATCCGCACACATCATCGCGTAGCTTATTTCACTAAATATATAACTAAATTGGACAAAAAGATCATATAGAGCAAAACAGAAGCAGTAGTTTGTATATAAACTGCAGGATTGCAAAACTGATTTCGTTACAGGCAGTCAAAATCAAAAAAA